GACTAGTAGTTGGTTCACAGCCTAAGCTGAGGGCAAATATAATTTATACATAAAGGGTTTTCTACTAAGATTAGTTATTTTGTGTTTACCTCCTATACCGGTAGATGAAGCTGACAGTTTTTGCCATTTGATAAATAAAAATAAATTAAAATACATTAAAACTATTCAATTTCACTACAAAAAGTGGTGAAAATCTGGCAGAGTTGGTTCTTTAAACCAAGGTTTTTTTCGGTTGTCTTGAAGCACATTGTGAGATTGGGTAGAAAAATGGAGCCGTCGGGGCCAGTTGGTGATGTGAAGTATAAAAAATTTACACACCACTCAGGAACAACTAAAAATATTGTTGCTGTAGACCGAATTGCTGAGGAAACCACAGGTTTGTCGACTTCTCGTCATTCCACAAACATCATTACACCACATTTTTCAAAAAGACCTGGGATTTATAAGCCTTAAATTCAATTTAAATAAAATCACTGGGTTATTCGTTATGCAAGAAAATTATACGCATCATAAACAGCAGGAACAGAAAGGGGCAAACATTTAGCTTAATGGGATAAACATAAGTAGGCTCGTGCTGCGGGCCTCTCAAGTTTGGATCCAATTCGAAGAAGGTTTTCTTTAAAAAGATGTCTGAAATAGTACTTTTCAAAATATCAACTTTTACTATCTAAATTTTTGTTGTAATTTTTTCATTATTCAAAAAAAAATTATGGTCCGAGATAGCTCCATAAAAATAAAACCCAAAAATAATCCAACATTACAATGACCTCTTGAAAATGTATCCGAAATTTCATTTTCAAACCTCTTGGGCTTCGTTAATCCATTTCTACTTCGTTGGAAATAAATTAAAGTGTAGTATCTGCGGCTTAGAAAACCCAAGATTTATTGTTTAAAAGCCTCTCCATCCTCAATGTGTAACTGTTCGGTGCGCTTTATCGCACGGCGTAGTCAATTGACCACACTTTTTCGAAAATGGGGCTGAACCGACATTTACGATATAGGGATTGTGCTATTCAGAGAGGATTAGTGCTTTTTTTTTTGGTCGGAGCTCGATTATATTGATCTAAATAACGTTTACCTTAAACGAGACGGCGCTACGCGCCATACACTGTAAGAAACCTGCGATAAGTTAAGGGAAAAGTTTTCGGACCGTGTTATCCAATTTCTTGTGATTTAACACCTTGCGATGTCTTTCTTTGAGGCCACATGAATGATAAGGTCCACGCTAATAGGTCAACGTCGAATAAAGATCTCGAAAAAATTAGAAAAGTGGACCTGAGACCTCCCCTCACCACGGAATGTCTGCAACTCTGAGTGTAGTTATTATTACGAAGGAAAAGCTCAACTTTGACATTCAATTTGTGTGACAAATTTCTACACCACCATCAAAAACTGGAGAAGAAACTCGGTTAATAATCGGTTCTGCGTTTAGAAAAAGCCAAAATAATGGTACATAGTTATACTGTAATTTATTTAAGCTGCAAGGAAAACTACCAGCCCTTAAATATAATGCACCCAATGTATGCCAATTTGCACCTCTCAGTTGTCTATGCGACAAAGGCTTGTGTTCAATACTAATTGAATACTAGTTCAGTTAGTTTTTTTGAATCTCTTTTTCACAAAAAAAAAAGCTTTTTGAATAATGAATTTGCCTGTACTGTGCCGGCGCTCATGCACTATAGTTTAGGCCTCAAAGCAATAAGCTATCGTAACAATATACCAATGAGTACCATTTTCGCACTTCAACTGAGCACAATAGGGAATGGAACTCAGCCCATGTTGGCACGCTAGAAGTAGCAACAACTCATCACGGTGAAAATTACTATAACTTCCGTCTTTGGTGAACCGTTACATATTGAACTAATTGATCCCATTTCATCTTCAAAATACCAGTATTTAACTAGAATCTGTACATACTAACCTACCTACTCCCTGCAGGGTAAACCAAACATACACTACTCGACGTAATGACGTCAGCGGCCTCTGTGGGCGCCTGTTGAGCTGCAGTGCTTTTTTAGTAAGCAATACTTCATCCAGCCGGCATTAACTTGCTTTGCATGCGGTTTGAAAATGATTAACGATTTGCATTAGGGGCCTAAAAGCCATACTTTTATCTTAAAAGTCTACAATAAAAAAAAGTTTTGTTCAAGCTGGTTAAAGAGTTTTGTTAAGGCATGAGGAATTTTTGAAATCGCCCGTTTAGGCGAATGCCTCCTCGTTTGTTTAACGTCACTCACATACACTTGCAATCAGGCTGCCAGTTTTTGTCATATTTTGACAGTAAGTTGGCAGCTTTGTTGGCAAATTGACTTTAACACAAATTGCAAGTGAATACAAAAATTCGTCGGCCGCGTCTTAAGTGTCAAAATAAGGAAAGTGTGTGCAGACAATGTAAAAATTTTATAATTCATATGTTTGTATTTTACATAAGAGCTTTCTATAGAGGATGGGAAAATTATTGCAGACATCTAGTGTAATTATTATAAATTTTTAGAATTTGACACCTGCGCAGATGAATGCGAGACATGAAACGCTTGAAGAATTTAAGACTTTATTGCAAATGAAGTGAAAAAAGATGTAAAGTTTTCTGGTCAGAAAATTGGCAACATTGGAGCAACTATTGAAAATATATTCAGTACAGAAAATTTGTGACGCCATAGCTGAGAGGTATGCATTGCGTACTGCCATTCGTTCGCCTCTTGATCTGACAAACATCCAAGAGTTATAGAAAAATTATTTAAACGAAAAATTAAAGTAAATTTTCTAATTGCGGTTGTCCCGCGGCAGGGAATGTCAACTCTTCCGAGTGCAATTTTTACATCAACTAAAAAACTTCTCATAGAAAACCATCAGCCGTTTGGAGGTGGATTAAAATAAATTATTTGTTCGATGTGTTTAAAAAAACATCAGATGCATACCACAAATTGGAAAAGGAGCTCAGCCAAAAATCGCTTAAGTGGTTATAAAGCGCCAGTTATATAATATATAAAGAAAATTGCCAACGTTGCGAAAAATATCACATGAAACAACTGCTTATGTAAAAATTATTGCTGAATATATTATCTCTATAAAAACAATTTAAAAAAATAGTACACCGTTAAAAACTTAAAAATTACTTTTTTTTAGTATTTTTCAAATAAATTCTTAACATAAGTGTTCCTTAAAAAGTTTAAATCAGTGCCACCGAGAAAAATGTCTTCACTTAATGGAAAGCAAATTAAATAATCATGTGAAGCATTATTACGCACTGTCTTGATTTGGGATGATACAACGCGTCGACGGAAAAGGTCAAACTTTCAAGAAGTTAAGAAAAAGAGAAACTCGAAGAGCCATAAATGAGGCAAGTGCGGGTGTAGGTGTGGAACATATTGAACGTTACCCCGATAGCTTTAAGTCGTGTAGAGTGAGACCTGTGAGATATGTTAGACCCATCAAAACTGAATATACCTATACGGTAATGTGAGAAAGAGATCTAACTGGATTTTTTCTAATATTAGATCTATGTTTTATATGCCCATTGCTTTTTAAGTAGATATTTCTCTACCGTTACTGCTTTCATCGAAATTTTGCCAGTGGTTCAAGCGCTGATTACTTAGTCATACAAGCATTCAAGGTAAGGCAAGTGAATAAAAGTCAGTACGCATTAGGCAGGAATTTCTTCCTTACGGCCAATAAAAAAAAAATGTATAAAATTTAGATTTTAAGAATTTCTTCTTTAAGTTTTAATGAAACATTCTATGTGACTGTTTTTCACTAATAACCGCCATTACTTCGATCCTTATAAATTTTTTCGTAACACAAAATTCTCAATAAATCACACCTCTTTTAGAAGCTTTTTGTTTGGTTCCACCTGCCCTGTTGTCCATCTGCAATCAAATATTATAAATTAAATTCGATCCGCTACCTATTCAGCTGAAACTTTATATGTACATTTAACTCAATTGCATGAAAATGCAATATTATTAAGACGTGGAGCTGATCGGAAGTTTGCATCGTTTCATTCAATCTTTGGTGAATGTTTTGCTTAGCGTAAACATGCAACTCCATCAAATTTGAGAACTTGAACTTTGTTTTAAGAATTTTTCCTTGTACTCCGACGGTAGTAAAATCTGTTTTTTATTCTTAAATTTTATGTGGGACCGAATATAGAATAATCTACTACTATGTAGTAATGGATTATACAAAATTACACTTACAAATCAATGAATCTTCATCCTCTTCATGCCTTCTGATAAAAACATTCTGCGATACTAACTTCAATGTCTGCCCTATTCAAACTATCGAAGCCGAAGTTGCTGTGTTATACGCTGATATCAAAGAATCATTCCACCTTTCCTTCTGCTTCCTCTAAAATTTTCTCTTCAACAATCAATATGACCAAATTTAGCTACAATCTTTCCAATATAAAATTATAAAATTCTAAGAACTCTGTGAAAAAGTCATGTGTGATAAAACATAAAAAGATATAAGGCGACGAGTTGGGAATTTTCTTTTTGGTTTCCGAGGAAAATTGGCAAAATTGTGGCAAAAGTAGTAGAAATTGCAATCTCGCTCGTTTATTACTATTTTCAATTAATTTTTATGTATGGAAACACATTTAAATTGTTTAAAAAACTTAAAATTTTTATTATTATTAATTAATAAAAAAAACTTCAAATTATGTAATATGGCTAAATTTAAAACAAAAAAAAAACAACAAAAATTTCAAGCAATCTAAAATGGTATAACTCTAAACCTCAGTAATGGACACAATAAAAAATGAAAGAAATAATTTTCAGATATTGGCTGACATTGAAACTTTCGACAGTATCCAACTCAACGTTAAGCTTAAGCAACGTAAAAGTCTCAACGAAAAATAAGAAGAAAATGGCGTTTTCTATATGATATATATTTATCATTATAATTATTAATATGAGTGTAATTAGGGCTAAAACAGAAATTACTACGTTATTAGTCATTAAATATTCATGCTGACTTTTCCTTCTACTTTTTCATTGCAGTTAACATCATATTTTAATGACACATCGTGGATAAATCCATCTGAAGCCGATACGATAGTGGGTGAGGAACCTGATGCGGTGTCTCTTGTGTCAATTTTAGTTGTTGGTAAAGTAAATGTCGTTGAATGTCCAACACGTGAATGAAAGTGCACTTACATAAATGTACATAAATCAAAAAAAAAAAAACAGTTATAAAGAAACTTACATACATTCATAATATACTAATACTAATACTCACGCTTACAATTTCCGAAATGTTATTAGATATTTTTTGCAAATTTTTTTTTTTATTTTTTTAGAAATACGAGGTGTGACAAATAAGTAATGAGACTGATTCCAGGAAAACCGTATATTTCTAATATATTCTACAACTCTGCCATCCGCTTCAAAGTAGTCTCCTTGAGCAATTTTACAACAATTCCACTCGTTTTCCATGCTTAGTAACACATCTGGAACGCTTCGACTGGGATATCCGCAAATACCCTCATCACGGCCGCCTGGATGTCCTCGATCGGCTCAAAATGGGTTCTTTTGACCACAGAATTTGTTTTAGGGAACAAAAAAAGTCACAGGGTGATAGATCGGGCGAATGAGGCGGCTGTTGCAATACGGTGATCCCTTTAGAGGCTAAATACTGGGACACGGCGAGTGTGGAGGTCGATTACTTGGCAACTTGATTTAATGTTTGCCTCGGTGGAATAAAATCTTTGTGAACGACTCCACGGCTATCAAAAAAGCCAACAATCATCGTTTTCATCTTCGACTTGCTCATTCCCCTCCTTAATTTTTTTTTAGCCATCGAAACACCTAGACACGACTGAGAGCACTATCACCATGCACTTTTACAATCTTAGCGTACGTTTCTGAAGCTGTTTTGCCCAATTTTTTAATTTTTTTCCATTTTCCTGACGAGCCCCACCACCACACGTTACAAGCTAGAGCGATGGCAATTATATCAAAGGAAAGTAGAAGAATGCCGAGAGAAGGGAAGGGAATTTCAAAGTAGCAGGTTTACAATCTCATTACTTAATTTTTTCACCTGGTCGTAGATAAAATGCTGCTTTTTAAAAAAAGGTAGAAATATTTTTATTTAGTTAGAGAATTGAAAACTTTCCGCAGAAATCAAAATTGCACAAAAGAGTTTTACATTGAGCAATGAGCTGATCGTGATTAGCTATTTTATTTCATTCTGTGCTGTGCTCAATCGTCGGAGTAAAACATGCCATAGAAATTAAGACCAGGTTCCTCCAAAAAAAACCGTGTTTTTTCAAACTAATTTAATCCATATAAAAATAATATTTATAGATCAAAGTCTTTGTAGTTAAGCAGGCGTATAAACTTGTCAATTGAATAGAAATTTTCTTTTTTTTTAATTGGTGGCTATTCCCTTGGGTTGGTGAATTGATACGAGGGTACCGATCGGTTCAGAATAATGAGTTAAGTCTGTTTGTACGCAAACGAGTCCCTCGGTGCACAAATTCACTGGTACCTGGTTTAAATGGCCGATTTTGCAGACTTCACTTGATATGAAGCTTTGGTCAAAACTCTGCCAAAAAGCATCTAAGAGTATGAAATATAGTTTTATATATTCACATCTATCAATCCTAAAATGAAAAACCGTAAATTTGTTACCAAATTATTTATGTTCATGAAAGATAAAAGGACCGAATTCTATACATTGAAGGAGCTAGTTTTGAAAATTGATAGGAAACACACAATTTTCGCTTATTTTTTGTTTTGAAATAAATCTGCATCATTAGAGCTTAAAGCCCAATAGTTGTTTGTATAGAGAAAAAATTAAAATGGAACTATAAAAAAAAAATAAAAAATTTCTAAGCAAATTTTTCCAAAATTGTTTGTTTACAAAAGTTTTCTCTGTCAAAAGATGTTTCTCAAATTCGTCAAGTAGCATGGCGCATGTCTATGAATCAAATAGCTCTGATTGTTATATATGAATTTAATTTCCAAATTATCTACAATATTATATAAGCAAATTGTTGTTGACACAACGTAATTACACAAATATAAAACTTAATTCTACGCTTAATTTAACCAACTTAAATGCATTCCTTGACTGTAATTTCGCTCAATTTCCACTCAGAAACCTCAATTTGTCTTATTCTTATTTATATGTGGAATCTTTTCTTATAAATCGTTGTTTTTCGTAATTTTATTGACATTTAACCGTTTGCATAAATCACTTGTTTTTAGATAATATTATATCTATTTACATAGATAATCCCGCATATGCATCGTATATTAATATATTTCTATGTACTTATGTAAGAATTGGTATGTCCACTGCATTCCATCGCACAATTATTTATTCATTTATTTACGCTATTGATTCATTTAATTTTTTTTTTTCAATCTGCTACTCAATATGAACACATGACACGCCGCAGGCATTTTCCTCTCAGTGCTGATATTTCTATCGGTTGCCGGTAACATACTCGTCTGCCTCGCCATCTATACGGAACGCAGTTTGCGGCGTATTGGGAATTTATTTCTGGCGTCATTAGCGATAGCGGATTTATTCGTCGCATCCCTGGTGATGACATTCGCCGGCGTCAATGATCTGCTGGGTGAGTATTAAAACATGTACGAGTATATATGTAAGACGTAATGTGCAATTATCATTCCATACGTTCGTTTAATTTATTGTATATTGCTATTGGGCGTGCAAGTGAAGAGATTTTGCTCGTATGTGCCTTTGGTATCCTGTAGTTTATGCTGAGTGTGTGTGTGGGTGATGTGTTAAGCGTTAACTCATTTTATTTGCCTATTGTTTCGATGCGTCATGTGGATTATACTCGATTATGCATGGAGTCAATTGCAATGATATTGTTGGATTATCTTCTTTGTTTCAATTGAAATGTATAAAAACAAATTCGAAGACAATGAGCATAAGAAATGTGAAAATAACTAAAAATTCTACTAAATTTTAATACAATAATGAAAACGAAATACAATAATAGTACAAAATTACTTACTAAATTATGAATTAATATTATATTTTTAAATAAATGATAACAATTAATCCGGCTTCAAAATGGATAGCTTAGACCAATTTTGGCTCTACTTTCACTCATTTCACTCCACTGTCTTAATCTTTCTAACATTTACGTGAAATAAAATCTTTACCTAACTCGTCATTCAATGAGTCCATTGTTACGCGTGCTGTGTGGCATGTGACACCGTCTTATTGAAACCACATGTCATGCAAGTCAAGCTCTTGTATTTTGGACAAACAAAAATTTTAAATCAACTCACGGTAGCGCTCATCATTCACAGTTAAGTTACGATTCGCATCATCTTTGAAGAAGTATTGTTCAATGATGCCTCCAGCCCATAAACCGGACCAAACTGTGACTTTTTCTTGATGCAATGCTTCTGGCTGATCTTCACTCCGAAATCGAATATTCTGATTATCTACGCACCCAGTAAGCCAACAATGAGCTTATTGTTTCTTTTTACATTTCCCTCTGCCAATCGGCATGAGCCTTTTTTGAATGATTGACACATTCTGCGAGATTCGAAGTAAATTTCTTTTACATTCAAATGATCATACAATTGTGAATGTAAGTATACTGATCTTACTTAAAACTATAGTTGTCTAAATCTCACGATAGGTCTTTTGACGATCATGCAAATGTTTGTTTATTCACAGCATCAACGAAATTCGTCTTAGTGTGATCTAAAACCTCGATTGAATTCACCATACCAACGATAAAAAATAGTGGTTTCAGTTTAGCTTCATCGCTAAAAATTTAATTACGTTCATCGACGCCACGTTATTTCACAGCGAAAATTGTAAAAAATAATAAGAACTTTCTGAGTATGCATTAATGCAAAAATGTTAGATTTTACGAGAAATTTTTCAGTTGCCAGATTGAGGAACAGGATTGGCAAAATCCCATAATATAAATAAATGCCATTTAATGTTTTTCCAAGAAAATTAAAGAACCTACAGTATATTCTGATCCACTTCCAAAAGGCGGATGAATTTTTGTAAGGTGCTTTAATTTCCCTCGGAAATACACTCGGCGAGGTTGATATTTACAGCTGAGGAGAGCTTAATTTTCTATAAACATAGCTGAGCCAAAACTTTAACTGATTGCATTGCGCATTGCGTTAGCAAATATTTTTATATTGGAATGATCATTTTTGAGATTGACTATAAAAAAGAGGAATGAAGTATACTCACCATATGGACTCATACTCAGCATTCGGCACTTGATGAATATACGAGCATACCTAGGCTCATCACATTAACGTCTGAATTAACAACACTTAAACTCTTCTTTTAATTACAAGGTGTGACAATTAAGTTATGAAATTATTATATTCTCGCTCTGGTAACCCTGTGACCTTGAAATTCACTTTATCTTCTCTCGACATCGCTCTCCTCTCTATTGATATATAATATTTGCCATCGCTGTAGCTTATTTAGTTCACCTGCTGTGCGCTGTTGAGTAAACGTGTGGTCGCGGTGCTCATCACGAAAATCGGAAAACGAAATCAAGAGCAATAAAATTTTGCTCCAAATTAGGCGAAACTGATTCGAAAACGTACGCTAAAGTTGTAAAAGTGCATGGTGATAGTGCTCTCAGTCGTGCCCAGGTGTTCAGGTGTTTCGATGGCCAAAAAAAATTAAGGAGGTGCATGAGCAAGTCGAAGGTGAATACGATGTTTTTTGTTTTTTATGATAGCCGTGGAATCGGTTACAAAGATTTTCTTCCACCGAGGCAAACAGTAAATCAAATCTACTATCGCCATGTACTCGAAAAATTGCAAAAACAAGTCAACAGGGTGCGCTCAGTCATCGCTCGTAAAACCTCCCTCAGCGTGTTTCGTATTTGGCCTCTAAAGGGATCGCCGTGTTGTAACAACCGCCTTATTCCCACGATATGTTGCCCTGTGACTTTTTTTGTCCCCTAGAACAAAATCGGTGGTCAAAGGAAACACCATTTTGCGTCGATTGAGAAGATCCAGGCAGCCGTAACGAGGGTACTCGCGGGTATCCCAGTCGAAGCTTTTATAATTTGAAATTTTTTATGGACACCTTGTCATACCTCTTATTATAATATTTACTTAAAAATTTGCTGCAATTTGTAGAGATATTGCTTTCTATCCTTAAAGTCTTCGAGTTCATACTTCAATTAATGGCGGAGGTCTTCAGGTTTTTCCAACAATGGAGGGCTTTATGGTTCAATCTAAGCTAACTAAGTGTCAAGTGTATTGAGAAATTGATATCGTTGCTATTTTTTTTTCTTGAAACCGGGTTTCAAGCACTGCGCATAACCTCACTAAAGGAGTAAATTTAGGCATTTATTTAACGAGCTTTTGACTTCAAGACCGACGTTTGCTGGCAGCCGTATCTACCATGAACGATTGTAACTACAGACGCAGCAGCATGTCACCTCCCGAGAACCAGTTAGTGACCCTCTGAGTTGTTCGATATTACAAAATTTTGCAATACGAACTGCTTGCATACGCCAATGAAGTTTATAGCATTAAACTCATTCGTTTTTCTTCCTATCAGCTCTATAAGCAAGCGTTGGAATGGTTCTAGTTGTAAGCGAAGTCCAAACAAAATACCTGCTGCTGTCAAATAAGCAATTGTTACTGCTGGCAATTACAACAGGGAAGTTGTAGATAATTTTCTCTGTTTTGGAGACAGCATTAATACTAATAACAATGCCTCTCTGTTCAAGTAGTTCAAAAACTGAAGCCCCATAATCAACCCATTCGAATTCGCTTCGCTCAATAAACTGAACATCGTTTGGTGGAAGATGATCTTTTTTACCCAAAGCTCATCTTGTCGAATGAAGCACATTTTTACTTCCATTGAAGCGTGAAGAGATCTGCTAACAATGATTCCCATATCAACTGACCAGGAACGATTCATGGCTTGAGACGTGAAATTGCAATTGCCAGTTAAAATCTCTAGCTGCTTGAATCCTATCCTCGTTAGTCCATATAAATTGCTACAGAGGTCCTTTCCTTTTAACTGCCATATACACTTGTAATTATCTCTTACGCACGCACACATTAGTGGGAATGCACACTTTTGTAGTTCGACCGAAAATCTTTCCTTTATTGACACTTACGCCCCAATGCCCGAATTGTTGTTGGCGAGTGTTATTTTCGTTTGCAAATTTTCTGTCACTTCATAGCACTCAATCCCCTTGCCACAGCGGCATTGCATGACGTGTAGACGAGACAAATGTTGTCAGTAGCAGATTATCTTCAATTAAAACGGAAATGCAAACGGAAATTGGAAAGTGATTGATAAAATGAAAAAATACGAAAACTGATAAAAAAAAAATTTTTTCCGATTGGGTTTTACAAGAAAAATCTGCTCGTATATATATACATATATATCTATATCTATATATATATATATATATTTTTTTTTTTTTTTTTGGCTGTGAATATAATACACCTCGGCAGGGAATGACAGGCCTTCCAAGTGCACTTATGGCATGAAATCAAAAGCCATCAGCCGTTCGAATGCGGCTTAGCATAAAACTGTAGGTCCCTCCATTTCTTTAGAAAAACATCAAGACCCATACCACAAACTGGATAAGGAGTTGTGTGAGTCGTGTCAAGCTGTCTTTTTTATTTTGTTCAGTATTGTTTGGCATTTCATTATGGAAAGACTTACTCCTGAAAAACGTTTACAAATCGTTCAACTTTATTATGAAAATTCGCTTCGTTCATTTTATGGTCAACATAATCGGCATACTGTACAGTTCGCAACACCATCTCCCATATTGAGACTTAGCATTCAATATTAAAAATATTTGACCAAATTGACCACGTCCAGCGCGTAGCGAAGAAAATATCGCGGCCGTAGCTGTGAGTATACACGAAGACCATGGAGAGTAGATTCGGCGCCGTTAGTAGCGACTCGGACAGACGTTTGGAATTACTCGGCGAATTTTACTTTGAGATCTTAAGTTGCAAACGTACAAAATACAGCTTGAGCAAGAGTTGAAGCCACTCGACCATTCCATCCGACATAGCTTCGCTCTATGGGCTTCTCAAAAATTCAAAGAAGATTTGACATTTTCAAACCAAGATTTTTTCAGCGACGATACCCATTTATGGTTCAATGGGCATATAAGGAAGCATTGCGACGTGTAGACGAAACAAGGGTAACCTGAAGAGTTTCAAGAGCTGCCATTTTATATAGAAAAAAAACGATTTGGTGTGGTATTTGGGACAGTGGATTCATCGGTCCATATTTCTTTACAAATGATGACAGTTGGCGGGGAAAATGTAAACCTCAAAGGCGACTATTATAAAAATTGAAGATCGTGATCTCGGCGACAATTGATTTCGACTTTACCGTGCAACTTCCCACATACTGCGGATAATTTCATGTTTTGGTCGGTTGATTGGCCGAAGATCATGTGATATCGCTGTTTTTGTCCTCCCGAAATATGTAAAGTCTAAAGTCCATGTGGACAATTTCGCTTTGAGTCAGACGTTGAAGCAACACATGACGAGCGTCATTCACCAGTTACCAGTCGAAATTCTCGAATGAGCCATAAAGAACTGGCCTGAAGGGAGGAAA